GTAGTTGATCAGTAGGTACTGGTGAGATGCATGAACAAGCCCTCAGCAAGAGGGCTGGATTAATGCATCTTTTGGAGGAAGTGAGGCGTCCATGGGGGCGGAGCGCCTGGGCCGGGCAGGGCAGCGGAGTGACAGCCGCAGGAAGGGGGCTGCGGGCGGGCTCGGAGTGCGGGGCGCTAGTGGCCGGGCGGAGCGGCTGTGGTTGCTTCATGTCCCGGATTCTGCTTTCTCAGAGATCAGGCGAGGGGGCTGGCAGGGAGGGAAAGGTGGGCGAACCAGTCTGAACAGGCCGGGCAACTGGAGGAGCGTGGGCCTGGCAAACTGGGGTGCTGCCCAGCACCCTCTACCCTCACCACGCTCGGGAATTTTTCGTGAATCCGCCCGGTTGGTTTTACAGTTTCCTCTCATCCAGGCCCCACCCTGTCTCCTGACCCGCCCTCCCTTCCTCCGCTCTCTGAGCTGGCTCTTCCAAGGGATCGGTTAGCCAAAGGGAGGCACCGGCTCTTTCCCTGGACTCTCCCACTCCCAGCCCTCCTGGAGAACTCAAATCCTGCACGTGCTCTTTCTCTTTCCCTGCCCCCGTCTCCCAGGCCCTCTGGGACTTGGTGAAGGAGACCTTGAGTCGGCCCAGGAGGCCCTCCCTCCCCCGCAACCCCTTTAGGGTCCCTTCTGGGTGCCCCCCCGACTCCTCCAGCCCCAAGCACCCTGGGCCCACAAGCTGCCAGGCCCCTGCTGCAGGCAGGGAAGACCCAGGCAAGCTTAAAAGGGTGGGAACCACACACTTCTCATGGCTGTGTGTATTTTGCTTGAAGGTGTCTGCAATCAAAGACCACCCCGCCCCCTGCCCCCCACGCTGAAAAAAGAAAAGGAAAAAAACCCACCTTTTGTCTCAAATGGTGGAATTCCAGATGCAGGACCCTAGATTTGGGGGATAGGGAGCAGATATTTGGGGCAGGGGAGGCCTTTCAGGGATCCCTCATATCACATCAAGAAGGCCACCTGGCCCCCCTCAGACTGCCACTGCCCTTCCAGGTGACTCTCCCTGCGGCCAGTTCAACTTCTCACTCATCCCAAGGCTGTGAGTTCTTACATTTTCAGGTAGCAAACAGGAGCCCTTACCATGGCAAAGGGGAGATTGGTAGGTTGCTGAGCTTGTGTTTTCTACAAGCTTGGAGTTCTTTAATCAAGACTGCCACTATTTGTACGTCAGGGATGTTATTTAATAGATCCGGGATCTTTATTATTTATTTAACCAGGATCTTTAACAGCTGGACCACAGGCATCCTCAGCCCAGTCCTGGGTTTGATAGATGGGGTACTTGAGACCCAGAGAGGGAGATGACCTGCCCAAGGTCACACTACTTGTTTGTGGCAGAGCTGGAACTTGCCTCCTAGCTCCTCATCCCAGTGTGCCTGCTGTTATACTGTGTTTTAATTTTAGGGTAGCTCCATGTTAGGGACCTAGCATAGCACCTGTGTGGCACAGAGTAGTTGATCAGTAGGTACTGGTGAGATGCATGAACAAGCCCTCAGCAAGAGGGCTGGATTAATGCATCTTTTGGAGGAAGTGAGGCGTCCATGGTGCTTGGGATTCTAGTTCCTTGTCACTGAGTGTGCTAGCGAAATGTTTCTCTGGGTAGTTGGCCAGCAATGATCCCCATCGGAGCCTAGCATCATCTTTGGTCACTTCAAGCAAGCCCAGTCATTGTGCGGGAGGAGACTGTGGGTCTGGAGGTGGGTCCAAGCATGAGCCAAATTGGCAACTCCAGATCAGAGCGATTAATGCTGTGACTCTTTTCCATTCATTACCCTCAACCAGTATCTGAACAGGTTGCAAAAGACCAAGGCATGTCTGTTCCTGCAGGGATTCTTGTCATCCTACAGCCCTGCCAGGCACTGTGTGAAGAGACCACAGCCCCACAGATCCAGCATTTCTGGGGGCTGGAGGCCCCCTGGGCTCGGGGCTGCCCAGTGCTCTGGGAACCTAATGTTCGTGCCTCTGGGGTCCTGCCTGCTGGGCATTGGCTGCTATGGCACGTGGGATGGGGGCAGCACTTTGGTAAAAAGTGAAAGTAGGAGGAATTTGGGTCATTCAGGCTACAATTACCAATTTTATTAAAGTATTTGGAGAAGAAAGAGGCTGAAATGAATGATTAAAATAATATTTTGCATGTAGTAGAAGTTCAGGAACCTCACTGATTTTGAAACTTAGGAGAGTTGAGCTTGGCTTTGGTAAAGTTGATCTTTGCACCATCTGTAGACACAGAGCTGATGAATAAATTAATGTAGGCGTGATTTGTAGTAGCAAGAAAGGAATATGCATGTGACTTTCTTGTGATGATGAATTTTGACCAGAAGCAATTCATCTCCATTCATCTTGGTAAGCCTTTTTCTGGGCCACCTGCCTAGTGCCAGGCCCTGTGCTAAATGTCCTATAAGTATTACTTTATTGAATCCTCATAAGATCCCTATGAGGTAGGAATTATCATTCTTCCCATTTTAAAGACAAGGAAACTGAGGTCGGTTAAGTAGAAGACAACCGGGATTCACACCAGAGCAGTCTGACTCTAGGGTTGGTGTGCTTAACCACCGCATGTGCAGGCACTTTATGTGTTAGGACAAGGGGAATAGAAAAGGAAAAAAAAAAAAAAAAGATAAGCCAGGACCCCTACCCTTCCAGAAGCTTCTGATCTCTTTGGGAAAGGAAAACACAGAATGTGATTGTGCTCCTTGAGGTCAGGAGTGGGCTTGACTCTCTGCCTCCCCTGCCCCTCTGAGGAAGCAGCTGAGAAAGATGGAAGTGAAGCAGTTGGCCAGGCCTTCATCCCCTTCCCCTACACTGTATCTCCTCAGCCCCTATAGCTCCTCCCTTCCCCCAGCAGCTTCATGCTCACCCCAGATTATCAGTAAAACCAGGTGCCTTCAAAACCTCGAGATGGATGGACAGGGCAGCGAGGTAAAGAAGGCCATGCCTGACACACTTCACTTGCCATCCTCTGCTTTTGGAGTCTATCTTCTGTTTCCACCAGGGCTGAGCCAGGAACATAGGACACTCTTCTGCACTGCCAAATCAATAATAAAAACGGAGTCTTGCAGAAGAGGGCCTAGGAGCTAGGAGAAGGTAGGCCCACCCGACAGCCATTCAGAATTCTGCAGCTCTGGCCCCAGAATGCTTCCTCTAAACTCACAGATGTGAGCCAAAAAGGTCTTTCAAGTTCATCACCCCCACCGCACCCCTCCAAGACCCTCATTTTGCTGAGGAGAACAGTAAGGAGCAGGGAGGGAGAAGTATTTGCCCAAGAACACACAGCCCCATAGAGGCAGGGCTGGGCTAGAAGCTGGACTCCTGGCTCCTAGACCCAGCACCTGTGTGTATGTGCCGGTGGCTTCAGGAAGCATCATTCTGTCATAGTCATCCTATGGCCTGCGAGGGCCAGAGTTATGAGAAAGGTAACTTGTTTGCCTGACATCTTCACAGCCCTGCCCAAAAGCAAATCACCCGTCGTTCCTGATAGGCACCTTTGGCAGCCACAAAAACAAATCCACCAAAAGCAAAGAGAAAAAGGAGGAACAGGGCTGGGAGCCAGTGTTTGCCCCTGGTGGTAAACTGGGCATATTTAACTTGTCATCTTGTCCAGACCAGATACCATTTTGTTCCTGCTTGGCACAGATTTATCCAGCCTGTGTGTTCCTTCTTGGCAAAGTCCTCAAAGAGAGAGGAAGCAGGGACGGTCCCCAGGGCATCTAGGATGTTTGCCAAGTACCTGTTCCCCACCTTCCTCAAGCCCTGTCCTCTCTTTCCACCCCCAAATGACCACCCTTAGTTGATATTGAGTGGGATTGAATTTCTCCCACAGGATGGGGCACACATGTAGCATTTTGCCATTGGCCCATTTTGGTTTGGGAGTCACAGAGGCAGGCACTAGGAGTTGATGTGTTTATTTTAGCGTGCTTATGTGGCACCTGATATATGTCAGCGGGTGTTCTAAGCACTTTACAGATATTAGCTCAGGTAATCCACTCAGCTTTTACAGATGAGGAAACTGAGGCAGAGAGAGACTAAAGCATTTGCCTCACGTCACACAGTGAGTGATGGCAGAGCCAGGATGAAGAGTCTGCCTTCGAGTCCCTGCTGTTAAGTGCTGCCTTTCTTCTGGGACTGCCAGGTTCTTGCCATTTTGACAAGTAATGTAACCAACTGGGTCTCTGTTTCCTCCTCTGTAAAATGGGGAGAATAATATTAACTGTCAAATGGTCACTTTGAGAAGTGCGAAGGGCTCCGCAGACAGGAAGACCACTTCTTATCTGATTATGTTCCCGGCTGGGATTGGTTCGTCTC